ACGTCAGAAGAAATGCTTCTAGAACATGGCCCTATAGCCCGAAAAAACCCACAAGAACCTAGCTTTAATAATTGTTATGTTTAATTCCATTTTAATGTTTATATTTTGTAGGTTTAAAACTGGATTGTTTTTAAGGTGGTGAACTGCTTTGGGTCTGGATCAAGAAGGAAAAGCAGGGTACAGATAAATATGTTAACAATACAGTAGTCTCACTTATCCAACTTTCACTCATCCAATGTTCTGTATTATCCAACACAGTCTGGCTACCACCCGGATCCACAACTATTTCAATACATTGCAATGTTTTGGTGCCAAATTCGTAAATACAGTAATTACTATGTAATGTTACCATGTATTGAACTGCTTTTTCTGTCGATTTGTTGTAAAACATGATGTTTTGGTGCTTAATTTGTAAAATTAATTAAAATTAATCCCTCCTTATTATCCAACATTTTCGCTTATCCAACGTTCTACTGGCCCGTTTATGTTGGATAAGCGAGACTCTATTTTAATAATAATAATAATAATAATAATAATAATAATAATAATAATAATAATAGTAAAGGTAAAGATTTACCCCTGACATCAAATCTAATCGTGTCCGACTCTGGGGGGTGGTGCACATCTCAATTTCTAAGCTCATTTTCCGGTCCTAATTCAAGGTCCAGGTCATCACCTATAAAGCCCTAAACAGTTTGGGACCTGCCTACCTTTGCGACCGCATTGCTTACCATAAACCCACACGATCCCTTCGATCTTCTGGAGAGGCCCTCCTTTCGCCCCTTCCCCTATCACAGGCTTGGCTAGTGGGTATGAGGGAGAGAGCCTTCTCCATTGTGGCCCCCCGACTTTGGAACTCACTACCAGGTGAGATTAGGCAAGCCCCCACCCTAGCAGCTTTTAAGAAAGAGCTAAAAACTTGGCTTTTCTGATGTGCCTTCGGAGAGTGACCCCCCAACCCATTTTTGTAAGTCTCCACCTACAGTTTGTTTACACGATGCACTTTCCCCTACCTCCAATGAAGTCCATGCCCCACCGCTCCCCTGTCTCAGACTCCTTCTGTTACAAATATACCTTTTACTTCCTATCTCACCCAGGGTTTTTAATGTTTTTAGTATTTTATGTTTTTCATCTGGCCCGCCCTTTGTGACTGTGTTTATTATGTTCTTGCACTGTTTATTTTATTTAGCTGTCCCCTGCCACGCGTTGCTGTGGCCCAGTCTGGTGATCTGGAAAATAAAGTAATGAGAAAGTGTTGGTTTCTAATATATGTAATGTCTTTATGCTTGTGGGTAAACAGTATTTCTTGCTGTTTCTTTGTCAGTGTTGATGTGGAGATTGTCTGGTTTGCCTACTCTGGAACATGCAACATATCATTGTCCTTCTTTCAAATCTATGATACTATATCTGTGTGTGAGAGAATCATATCTATCTATCTATCTATCTATCTATCTGTCTATATCTATGGCTGGATGGCTCTTTGTCAGGAGGACTTTGATTACGTTTTCTTGCCCTAATGAAGGGAGTTGGGTTGGATGGCCTTAAGTATTTTCTGTTGGTCATGGGGGTTCTGTGTGGGAATTTTGCCCCGATTCTGTCGTTTGTGGGGTTCAGAATGCTCTTTGATTGTAGGTGAACTATAAATCCCAATAACTACAAATCCCAAATGTCAAGGTTTATTTCCCCCAAACTCCATCTGTGTTCATATTTGGGCATATGGAATATTCGTGCCAAGTTTGGTCCAGATCCATCATTGTTTGAGTCCACAGTGCTCTCTGGATGTAATTGAACTACAACTCTCAAACTCAAGGTCAATGCCCACCAAACCCTTCCAGTATTTTCTGTTGGTCATGGGAGCTCTGTGTGTGGTGGAGGCTTCTTCTTTGGAAGCTTTTAAACAGAGGCTGGATGGCCATCTGTCGGGGGTGCTTTGAATGTGATTTTCCTGCTTCTAGGCAGGGGGTTGGATTGGATGGCCCATGAGATCTTCTCCAACTCTATGATTTTATCATTCAATTCCATCGTTGATGGAGTTCAGAATGCTCTTTGATTGTAGGTGAACTATAAATCCCAGCAGCTACAACTCCCAAGTGACAAAATCATAATTTTTTGAGTGATGGTCACTCCTTGTGGTGTGAGACGTTTTGTTCCCAAATTTGGTGTGATTGCGTTCATTGGTTCTTTTGTTTTTAAGGTATTTTATTTATTTATCGTGTCATCTGCAACCAGAACACTGTATTATATTTCTAACAGAGAAAAACAAACAAACAGATAAAAAAAACACAGATTTTGCAAACTTAGTGTTGATTAAATGTCCTTTGACCAGTATCTGGCCACTTGGAGTGCCTCTGGTGTTTCTGCAAGAAGGTCCTCCATCGTGCATGTGGCAAGGCTCAGGTTGCATTGCAGCAGGTGGTCAGTCGTTTGCTCTTCTCCGCACTCGCATGCCGAGGATTCCACCTTGTAGCCCCATTTCTTAAGATTGGCTCTGCATCTCGTGGTGCCAGAGCGCAGTCTGTTCAGCGCCTTCCAAGTCGCCCAGTCTTCTGTGTGCCCAGGGGGGAGTCTCTCATCTGGTATCACCCACGGATTGAGGTGCTGGGTTTGAGCCTGCCACTTTTGAACTCTCGCTTGCTGAGGTGTTCCAGCGAGTGTCTCTGTAGATCTAAGAAAACTATGTCTTGATTTAAGTCGTTGACGTGCTGGCTGATACCCAAACAGGGGATGAGCTGGAGATGTCTCTGCCTTGGTCCTTTCACTATTGGCTGCTACTTCCCGGCGGATGTCAGGTGGTGCAATACCGGCTAAGCAGTGTAATTTCTCCAGTGGTGTAGGGCGCAGACACCCGTGATAATGCGGCATGTCTCATTAAGAGCCACATCCACTGTTTTAGTGTGGTGAGATGTGTTCCACACTGGGCATGCATACTCAGCAGCAGAGTAGCATAGCGCAAGGGCAGATGTCTTCACTGTGTCTGGTTGTGATCCCCAGGTTGTGCCAGTCAGCTTTCGTAGGATATTGTTTCTAGCGCCCACTTTTTGCTTGATGTTCAGGCAGTGCTTCTTGTAGGTCAGAGCACGGTCCAGAGTGACTCCCAGGTATTTGGGTGTACTGCAATGCTCCAGTGGGATTCCTTCCCAGGTGATAATCCTCAGAGCTCGGGATGCTTGTCTGTTCTTAAGGTGAAAGGCACATGTCTGTGTTTTAGATGGATTGGGGATCAGTTGGTTTTCCCTGTAATAGGCAGTAAGAGCACCTAGAGCTTCGGAGAGCTTCTGTTCAACCATCTCAAAGCTCCCTGCTTGAGCGGTAATGGCACGATCATCAGCATAGATGAAACTCTCTATGTTGTTGTTGTTCATTCATTCAGTCGTCTCCGACTCTTCGTGACCTCATGGACCAGCCCACGCCAGAGCTCCCTGTCGGCCGTCACCACCCCCAGCTCCTTCAAGGTCAGTCCAGTCACTTCAAGGATGCCATCCATCCATCTTGCCCTTGGTCGGCCCCTCTTCCTTCCTTCCTCTGTATCCAGCATACTAGTCTTTTCTAGGCTTTGCTGTCTCCTCATGATGTGGCCAAAGTACTTCAACTTTGTCTCTAGTATCCTTCCCTCCAATGAGCAGTCGGGCTTTATTTCCTGGAGGATAGACTGGTTGGATCTTCTCGCAGTCCAAGGCACTCTCAGAACTTTCTTCCAACACCACAGTTCAAAAGCATCGATCTTCCTTCGCTCAGCCTTCCCTAAGGTCCAGCTCTCACATCCGTAGGTGACTACAGGGAATACCATGGCTTTGACTAGGCGGATCTTTGTTGCCAGTCTGATGTCTCTACTCTTTACTATTTTATCGAGACTGGACATTGCTCTCCTCCCAAGAAGTAAGCGTCTTCTGATTTCCTGTCCACAGTCTGCATCTGCAGTAATCTTTGCACCTAGAAATACAAAGTCTTTCCACATTTTCTCCCTCTATTTCCCAGTTGTCAATCATTCTTGTTGCCATGGTCTTGGTTTTTTTGATGTTTAGCTGCAACCCGGCTTTTGCGCTTTCTTCTTTCACCTTGATTAGAAGGCTCCTCAGCTCCTCCTCGCTTTCGGCCATCAGAGTGGTGTCATCTGCATATCTGAGGTTGTCAATGTTTCTTCCAGCAATTTTCACCCCAGCTTTGCATTCATCAAGCCCCGCACATCGCATGATGTGTTCTGCATACAAGTTAAAAAGGTTGGGTGAGAGGATGCAGCCTTGCCGTACGCCTTTCCCAATCTTGAACCAGTCTGTTGTTCCGTGGTCAGTTCTGACTGTTGCTACTTGGTCCTTGTACAGATTCCTCAGGAGAGAGACAAGGTGGCTTGGGATGCCCATCCCACCAAGGACTTGCCACAATTTATTATGATCCACACAGTCAAAGGCTTTAGAATAGTCAATGAAGCAGAATAGATGTTTTTCTGAAACTCCCTGCCTTTCTCCATTATCCAGCGGATATTGGCAATCTGGTCTCGTTCCTCTGCCTTTTCTAAACCCAGCTTGAACATCTGGCAACTCTCGCTCCATGTATTGCTGGAGTCTTCCTATATATCCTTCCTATATATAGAGAGCATTTATATATATATATATATATAGATAGATAGATAGATAGATAGACAGACAGACAGACAGACAGACAGATAGAACCACAACAATAAATATAATAATAATAATAATAATAATAATAATAATACATCAGCTGAGGCATAGTTCTATTTCCCCCTTCTCTTTCCCCAACTCTTTCATTTTCCCCCTTCCCTGCACACACAAAACAAACCCATGCTGCCCTGGTTGCTCCAGCCAATCCTGCCTGCCTTGGTCCCCTTTCCCCAGCCTTCCCCCCCTTTCCCAAGGAATGGACCCGCCCGCCTCCCGGAGGGGAAACAAGGCGAGAGGCCGCCCTGATTGCGAGGAAAGGGGTGGGAGAAGTCAGGGGGGCGTGGGGAGAGGAGGGAGGAGGAGGAGGAGTTGGGCGCCTTGTTGCTATGGGGAGATGGCGAGGAGGGGAGAGGAGGCGGCAGCAGCCAGCCAGCCAAGCCAGAGGAGCAGCTGCTGCTGGTCGGTGACACATTTCCCCTTCTCTGCTGCCTCTGCTGCTGCTGCTGCCATATTGAGAGAGAGAGACCCTTCCTCAAATCTCCCCCCTTCATGAGGACAGTGAGTTGCAATCTTTGATTCCCCCTTGAGGTTTGGGCAGAACCCCCTCCAAACACTTCCAAATCCTTTTCTCTCCTTTCCCTCCAAACTGGGCATGCCTTTCCTTCCTATTCCCATTATCTCCCCATCCCCAATTTCAGATTTCATAATGTTTAGTCTTTTTTGGGATGTGTAGTTCCACTTTGGCACGTAGGGTTGAAAGAAAGCAATGGCATGGTGACTTTGGAAGGCAGCATGTGCCTTTACACAATGGTGCACAATGGAGTGCCATTTGGAGAGGTGCCTTTCCTTTTGGAGAGGTCTTTTGGGAGATCTAGGATAGATGAGGGTTTGAATGTGTGTCAGAGAAAGAAATAAAGGGGGTGTAATTTGGGGGGGGGGTTGGTTCTGCCATTTGTGGCTCTCCATTGTATCAAACCAGAAGGTTTCGAGTATGCATATATATGCATTTGGATATTGTTGGAGGAACAAATGGTTTTGCAACTGGGGACTTTGGAGGAAATATATTGCATTATCTCTGCCATGGATTGGGTATTTCTTTTCCAAGGCAGAAAAAGAGTCTCTTCTATTCCAAACCAGTTGTGTGTGAATATTTGGAGAGGATATTGGAATAATAATAATAATAATAATAATAATAATAATATTTGGAGAGGATATTGGGAATAGTTGTTAATATTTGGAGAGGATCTCTTTGGGAAAGCTTGGGAATGGGATTTGGAGCGAAAGAAGAGGGAAATAAATATTAACACAGAATTAAATATATAATTACTAAAATTAAGTGAGTTTTGTGTATGGCAGTGACATAGACAGAAGGTTATTTCTGATCCTAACTTTACATTGTGTAAAGTTAGGATCAGAAATAACTTCACGTTGTGTTAGTATTTGGTGTTAAAATCTTTTGTTTTGTGCCTTTTGATATATGTCTTTTAATGTTGTTGTGCTTTATTTGTATGTGGTTTAAGCCACATACAAATAAAACACAGAATTAAACATACAATTATTAAAATAAGCGAGTGTTGTGTATTGTAGTGCCATAGACAGAAGGCCATTTCTGATCCTAACTTTACATTCTGTTAGTATTTGGTGTTAACATATTTTGTTTTAATATATGTCTTTTAATGGTGATGTGTTTTATTTGTGTGTGGTTTAAGCCATGAGGAGAGGTGGGCAACAAATACACTGCCACCATCATCATTATTTTACTATTGTTGTTGTTGAGATCGAGTGGCCTCTGATTAGACCCCCAAACTGTTCCAATTTGGACTCAGATCTTCAGTATCTTTTTGCACGCTTTCATGTGGATGGGAGAGTTTGGGTTGAGTTTTAGGGGGCTATTTTGGGGCTCCTAATTTATCTCCCCTTTTTCCAATAATTCTTGGAGGCCTGCCTAGAGTTTCCCCCATCAAACATTGGGGTGTTGGGAATGAATATACTATCTCTTTAAGGGGTCTGATTAGGACCCCCCAACTGTTCCCCTTTAGACTCAGATCTTCAGTATCTGGGAATGAATAATATCCCTTTAAAGGGGGAGAAAGGGGTCTGATTAGGACCCCCAAACTGTTCCCCTTTGGACTCAGATCTTCACAGTATCTTTTTGCACGTTTTCATGTGGGTGGAAGAATTTGGGTTGTGTTTGGGGGCTTTTTTAGGGGTTCCTAATTTGTCTCCCCTTTTCCCAATCTTCCATGGAGGCCTGCCATCCAATTTTGGGGTGTTGGGAATGGATACATCCCTTTAAGGGGGGCAGAAAGGGGTCTAATTAGGATACCTAAACAGTTGCCTTTTGGACTCAGATCTTCAGTATCTTTTTGCACACTTTCATGTGGAGTTTGGGTTGAGTTTTAGGGGCTATTTAGAGGTTCATAACTTGTCTCCTCTTCTCCCAATCATTCTTGGAGGCCTGGCTAGAGTTTTCCCCATCAAATTTTGGGGTGTTGGGAATGAATATATCCCTTTAAGGGGGGGAAAGGGGATCTGATTAGAATCCCCAAACAGTTTCCCTTTGAACTCAGATCTTCAGTATCTTTTTCACGTTTTCATGTGGATGGAAGAGTTTGGGTTGAGTTTTAGGGGCTATTTGGGGGGGGGGGTCCTAATTTGTCTCCCCCTTTCCCAATCTTCCATGGAGGCCTGCCATACAATTTTGGGGTGTTGGGAATGAGTATATCCCTTTGAAGGGGGAGAAAGGGGTCTGATAGGATCCCCAAACTGTTCCCTTTTGGACTCAGACCTCAGGCTCACTTTCATGTGGATGGAAGAGTTTGGGTTGAGTTTTAGGGGCTATTTTGGGGTTCCTAATTTGTCTCCCCTTTTCCCAATCTTCCTTGGAGACCTGCTTAGAGTTCCTCTCATCCATTTTGGGGGTGTTGTAAATGGATAGACCCCTTTAAGGGGGAGGAAAGGGGTCTGATAGGATCCTCAAACTGTTCTCTTTTGGACTAAGATCGCCAGCAACATTACGCATGCGCTCTAATGGATGGAAGAGTTTAGGGTGAGTTTAGGGGCTATTTTGGGATTTCTAGTTTGTCTCCCCCTTTTCCCAATCTTCCTTGGAGGCCTGCCTAGAGTTCCCACCATCCAATTTTGGGGGGTTGTAAATGGATAGATCCCTTTGGGAGGGAGACAGAAGGGTCTGTTTAAGATCCCCAAACAGTTCCCTTTTGGACTAATCTCCAGTATCTTTACGCACGTGGATGGAAGAGTTTGGGTTGAGTTTTAGGGGCTATTTTGTGTTTCCTGGTCTTAGTCCCCGTTTTCCGGCCTTCCTTGGGGTTCTGCCTAGAGTCCCCTTCACCCCAATTTGGGGAAGAAACCCCTTTTTGCTTTAACTGAGCCTTAAGATCCAACCTCCCTCCTTTGCCTTGGACTTTGCTTTATCCTCCATGGAGTTGTGCCATGCGGTGGCCTCCAAACCCCCGCCTCTTTTGCTTTTTCCTCTTTTTGAGAGCCATCATCATAAAGGAAATTGGTAGGAGGTTGAACCCCCCTTTTAGCTTCCTTTTCCTTCATTTCAAGGCCGTCTTCCTTTGTAAAAAGGAAGAAAAAAAAAGCAAGGCAAAAAAGTTCTTCCGGGGCTTGTTTGCAAAGTTGCATGCAATGCAAAGCTCTCCAATTCCTTGCAAAGAGTTTAGTTGGGTTTTGTTTTGCTTTCAAAAAGGGGGAGGGAGTTGTATCCTCGTCAGTGGGGTTGAGTGGGTCCCTCCTCCCGCGATTTTGTTCCCCTCTCTTCCCCTCCATTTTGGTGGGGATCCTGACAGCCACGTGGCGGGGGGGGGGTGCATCTACACGGTGGAATTAACGCGGTTTGACCCTACTTGAACTCCCCATGCTTAATGCTTTGGAATCCTGGGAGTTGCAGCTTGGTGAAGCACCAGCACCCTTTGGCAGAGAAGGCTGAAGACTTGCAAAACTACAACTCTCATGATTCAGTTGCAATGGGCCATGGCATTAATTCAGGCATGGGCAAACTTGGGCCCTCCAGGTGTTTTGGACTTCAACTCCCACCATTCCTAACAGCCTCAGGCCCCTTTCTTTTCCCCCTCAGCCGCTTAAGCGGCTGAGGGGGAAAAGAAAGGGGCCTGAGGCTGTTAGGAATGGTGGGAGTTGAAGTCCAAAACATCTGGAGGGCCCTAGTTTGTCCATGCATAGTATAGATGCTCTTTTAGAGAGTACAACATCTGTCAGGAATTTATATTTCATATACACCAGATGCCCCTGGTGACACTGAACTGCTGAACTTGTTGATCGAAAAGTTAGAAGGTCAGACTCGGGGAGCGGAGTGAGCTTCCGCTGTTAGCCCCTGCTTCTGCCAGCCTAGCAGTTCGAAAACATGTAAACGTGAGTAGATCAATAGGTACCGTCTCCCAAAGCAGTTGCTCTACTCCGAAAACAGAATGGTGGTGGGCAAAAAAAGAGATTTAAAATGGGCTCAAACCTAACCCTAACAACTATGGTATACACACTGAGAACTGGGAAGCCCTGGCCCATGAGTTCTCCAGCTGGAGGTCAGCTGTGACCAGCAGTGCTGGAGAATTTGAAGACGCACGAATGGAGGGTGAAATTGAGAAATGTGCCAAGAGGAAGGCACGTCAAGACAACCCCAACCGGGACCGCCTTCCACCTGGAAACAGATGCCCTCACTGTGGGAGAAGACTATGGGATAGACACTGAGAACTGGGAAGCCCTGGCCCTTGAGTTCTCCAGCTGGATGTCAGCTGTGACCAGCAGTGCTGGAGAATTTAAAGAGGCACGAATTGAGGGTGAAAGAGAGAAATGTGCCAAGAGGAAGGCGCATCAAGCCAACCCTGACCGGGACCGCCTTCCACCTGGAAACAGATGCCCTCACTGTGGGAGACGATGCAGATCAAGAATAGGGCTCCACAGTCACCTACGGACCCACCGCCAGTACACTGATCTTGGATGGCAATCCTACTCGGACTACGAGGGATCGCCTAACACAGGAGTCCTCAAGCTTTTTAAACAAAGGATCAGGTCACAGTCCCTCAAACTGTTGGAGGGCCGGATTATAATTTGAAAAAATCATGAATGAATTCCTATGCGCACTGCACACATCTTATTTGTAGTGGGGGGGAAAACCACTTAAAAACAATACAATAATTAAAATGAAAAACAATTTTAACATATATGAACTTATTAGTATTTCAGTGGGAAGTGTAGGCCTGCTTTGGGCTGGTGAGATAGGGTTGTTGTTGTTGTGTGCTTTTAAGTCGTTTCAGCCTTAGGTGGACCCTGATCGAGGATTGGGTAAATGACCTTGAAGGGCCATATTCAGCCCCCGGGTCTTAGTTTGAGGACCCCTGGTATAGATGCTCTTTTAGAGAGTACAACATCCGTGAGGACTTTATATTTCATATATACCAGATGCCCCTGGTGACACTAAACTGCTGAACTTGTTGATCGAAAAGTTAGAGGTTCGAACTCTGGGAGTGGAGTGAGCTTCCGCTGTTAGCCCCAGCTTCTGCCAACTTAGCAGTTTGAAA